CCACAGTCACCCACAGACTTCAACAGCTTCTGCAAGTGTGCAAGGCTCATCTAGAATAAGTCTTCTATCCACATTGTAATGGTTCTGCCTTTCTGATGAACCCTAACCGCTCCGCAGGCTGGTAATGGACACTCTGGCAGGCTCACCCAGCGGAGGTGAGTGTGGACCTCTGGGAGTTTGGAGCACGGCTACACCATCCTTTACAGAGAACCACCTTAGTTCTGAGGAACTACTTTCGGCTAGCGAAGCCCTGGCAGAGACGTCAGGCTTCACCATGGGGCACCAAGAGAAGAGGAAACCTAAGCCGCCCTGCATGGCCCACAGGCTGTCTGACCCATGAAGGGGCACTCCAGCCTCAAATCAAAGCGGGTGTGTGAGAGCAGGCTCCATCCACGCCAGAAGACGCCAGCGAGCAAGGAACCCTTAGTCCTGAGAGCTGCCTCCTCCCTCAACAACCATTCACGAACGCTGCCCAATGGTTTAGTTGGATGACTGACAATGGAGAGAAACATGACTAAAAAACAGGTAACAAACAATTGGTCTGCAGAAGATGCTGTCAACAGACCTTCACAAATGGGCACATGATGTAAACAGACCTCAGCAGAAGAGGATCTTGATACTCGGGTAAATACCACCACCCACTGTATCTACATCAGTCAGCCTCATTCCCCATAGAGTAATCTATGCCCTGCTCACATCGGTCAGCTCTATTCCCATGCTCGAGTGAATACACACACACTGTATCTTCATCAATAGTCAGCTCATTCCCCCATATAAGTGCGTACCATCACCCTGTTTCATCAGTCAGCCTCATTCCCCATACTCAGGTAGATCCATCACCCCTGTTTCTACGCCAGTCAGCCTCATTCCCCATATAAGGTAAATACACCCACTGTTTCCTTGGTCAGCTCATTCTCCATACTCAAAGGTAAATACACACCACTGTTTCTACGCCGGTCAGCCTCATTCTCAACCTGGGATGCAAATACACACCACTGTTCCTTGGTCAGCCTCATTTCCCATGCCTCAAGGTAAATACACACACCCACTGTTTCATCTGATCAGCCTCATTCCCCATACTCAGGTAGATACATCACCCACTGTATCTACATCAGTCAGCCTCATTCTCCGCCTCAGGTGGAATACCACACCCACTGTATCTACGTAGTCAGCCTCATTCTCATACTCAGGTGAATACATCACCCACTGTATCTACATCAGTCAGCCTCATTCTCCCATGCACAAGGTAAATACCTGCACCTAAATACCACCACCCACTGTTTCTACATCGGTCAGCCTCATTCCCCAGTCTTCTTATCCAAATGGGCTCATGTCCATGTGGACATGATGGCAGGAATAGAGGTTATGCATGAACTCAGCAACATGGACTTCACTCCTGGAAATTAATCCGACTCCAGGGACTTCCGAGTATCCTCCCTGCCAACAGCAGATGCCAACATCAACCTCCCCACCTCACCCTCATGCCCTGACACCATCCCTGGGATATCGGCTGGCACCTCATGGCAGGTTGTTATCACTGGTCCACTTCCATCATGAAGAGATCATTAAAATAAATTTGCCTTCTGGGTCCACAGGGCCTTAGGGAATGTCCTGTTCTCCACGATGGGATCCCCACACCATTGCTTCTGACCAGGGAACTCATTTACAGCAAACGAAGTACACGACAATGGCTCTGTACTCAGGAAACTGACTGATCTTGCCACAGTCTCCAGCACCCTGAAGTCGCTTGCCCAATAGGTCAAAATACATATATTTTTAATATCCAGTTAGAGTGCCAACCAATTGGTGACACCTTGTGGGCTTGGGGGCAACAGACTTCAGAGTATCTTCTGGCACTATAGGTTTTGACTTGGTGGTACTGTTTCTCCCACAGCCCAGATTCACAGCCCAAGAATCGAGGGGTGAAACGCGAGGAACCTCCTCTCCCTATCACCCCCAGTGACCCACTAACAAAATGTTTGCTTTCCTTCCCTAAAATGCTGGACTGCACTGGTCTAAGGGCAAGACAGGGCAATGGTTCCATTAAACTGGAAGCAGAAGCTGCTACCTGGCCACACTGGGCTCCTCATGTCAGCAACAGGCAAAGAAGCGACTCCGGCAGTGGCTGAGGTGACGGACCCCAACCGTGAGGAGCCGTTACCCCACAGTGGGATTACCCCACCGTGGGAGTAAGGAAGAACACGCATGGGACCTGGAAGACCCCCTGAGTGCCCCCTCTGTGTTCTCACACCCTCTGATTAAAGTTAATGAAAAGTCATGACCATCCAATACAGAAGTGCTACTGAAGGTCCAGACCTTTCAGGAAAGGAAGTCGGATCACCCACCAAGAAAAAAACCATGACCAACCAAGAGGTTTGCTGAGGGCAGCGGGAATATGAAAGGGGCAGTAGAAGGAAGTGGTCAATTCTAGCCATGAACACTGACCAGGTGTGGAGACTTAACCTGTTCTAGGCTTTTCTTCCTTGTTTTCATAAGAATATAACTGTGTACACAGAAATGAATTATTCTTCCTCCTTCTCCCAGGCCCCTACCATCTCACATAAGAAGCGCTAACAGGAGTCAACCTTGTATTAATATCTTGGAATCTGGTTTACAGGCTCTAGAAGAGAATGGATGTCATCCAAATGTTGGACAAAGGGGCTCTGTCTCCTCTGTGGGGAGTTGGGGATTTTCTGTCACCTGGGTGATGGTGAATTATGTTAGGCTCAAGCATGCGCTGCTCGTCTCTACTTGGAAATTCAATGTGGCTAAAAGAGGTATGCATGGGTACCAAGCTGACCAAAGATAAACTGTGGTGGTTTTCTACTGTATCAACCTAGCAAGGCTGGAATCACACTTCCCAAAATTCCCTTTCTTAGATGATTCTGGGCTAGGGTGGCGCTGAGAGAAATCTGGGAATGATGTGGAGGGCAGAGGGAAGCAGTGGCCCCAGATTCTGCAGGTTGGCACGGGGACAGGGACTGCTGCAGCTCACGTGGGCTGTTGCCAGTCACCCGTGCCATCAGGAGAGATGCAGGCTCCCGTCTGTCTGTCCCTCCTCTTCCCCAATCCTCATCCAGCTTTCTTCCCAGCTGCCAGCCTGACCAGACACAGCAGAAACTGCCTGTGCTTCTTCCAAGGAAGAAGTTCTCACAGCTGCACACGGCCTCTTTCCTTCAATAAACTCCTCCCTCCGTGACATTTGAAACGGATTGGCTTCTCCGATGAGACCACAACCCACATAGGTTCGACAAAACCATCTCAAAGTTCGTATCTAACCGAGGGCCGTACGATCCTGAACTGAGCTGACAAGTCAACCCCTGGCTGTTGCTCTGCAAGGGAGGGGCGGCTGTGTCCTAGGGCCATCAACTGAGCATCCCACCGCAGACGTGTGATTGGAGAAGCCACTGTGCGCCATCACTGCTGTCTCCTCATTCCCCAGGCCTGAGTTCCCCGGTCCCCTCTTCTTCCGGACTCAGCGGCTGAGGAACAGCACCCCTGAAGGGGCCGTGATCCGCCAGCTACGTGCAGCTCCTCAGAATGAAAATGACCGACAGCCCCCAAAATCAAACAATCCCTGTTTCCAGCCTTGAAAGTACCCTGCAGGGGGAGGGCCAGAGACAAACGTTCCAAATGCTAGAAAATACCCTCAAGAAGAAAACATACTTGTCTTTACTCACTGCCATTACAAAGAAAGGAACCCAGTGAAGTTCTGAGTTGTATCAAGACATTTAATTTGTTTTCTCATTAAGCTACTGTCTTCTTAAAGAGTTGATAATTATTCTCAAAACCGAAAAATCCATGACCGCCTTATCAGAACTATCCCTCTTCTCATGCAGAGCACAATAACTGTGTATTGACGCTCGGCCCAGTCTATGCCTCGACTGCTCCAGAAGCTAAGGAGACAGGCGAGGAGGAGCAGCCGGCGCTCTCAGGCGCACGCAGTCCAGCTGGCCTGGCTTCTCCACAGCCCTTCTCCACACTCAGAGAAGCATGCCAACGGGGGAATCTCCTGTAACAACCTCCTTCCAGTCATCAAGACAGATCCTGCTTTGGTGGAATAGCTGCGCTCGTAGACTGCCGAGAAGAGAAAGATCTGAAATGCAAAGTCTCTATGTGGCGGGTAACAGTATAACAACGTTGGGGAAAAGGAGAGCATTTCCCTTGGGAGACAGATAAGGCTGGAGACCACGCACAGAAGCCTCCTGAGTACAATCAGTCTGTCACTTTCCACTTACCTACCTTTCGTTTTTAAAAGGCAAGCTGGATTCCGAAAGTTGACATACATTCAGGTATTCAACTTTCTTATGAGATGGTAGCTCCCTGCCTGACAGATACTGAAAGGAGACACGGAGCCACCAATTCAAAAATGAATTCCGGAGATTCAACATCAGCACGTCACGCTTCATCTGAACTTGAAGCTGGGTACTAACAAACAGGTACTTCTGAGTGCTACCAACAGGCCACTAACAGGGGCCAGGAGAACCAGGGCTTAGGCAAAAATCATCTAATAGAATCTGTACCCCAAAAAAAGAAAAAACCAAAAGTCTATGACCAAGATGCCTGTTTGTGTTGTACCCAATTATTTCCAGCCCGATAGCCAGCCTGGTGGAAACTGCTCTAATCGTGCCAGGATGGGTGCAGCCCAAGAAGGTCAAAGACTAAGGAAGTGGGGGCTGTAGCACACACCAAAAAATATACCACAAATTGCCATTTCTCTTCTGCAAAGATGATGCCTGTTGCCACAGCAATAAGCATTCACTACCTTTGAGTCACAAGGAAGACAGCAATTGGAATAGAGGCTTGTATGTGAGTGCCCTTCCTTAGTCTCGGTGTCCTTCTCAAAACCTTTCCTGTACTGACAATCTCTGGGTTCAAAAAGTACTTGGCCCATGGTGGTTTATAATGCCCTGTTCCCCTTCCTACCCAGAAAGGGGACAGGCTCTGCAACAGTCCTGCCAATCACAAAGGCAGCGTGCTGGGCAGGGCTGGCCACTCACTTGATGTGATGTATTCCGGAGCTTTTCCGGGGCTCAGCGGCACAGCTTCCTCATAATAACCTTCTGGGAGGGAGGACGTTGGCAATGGTGGAGGCCCACTGTCAGGAGGCTGAGGAAGAAAGGAAAAGCGACACAGAAATTAGCGTGACAGAAGGAACTTCTGGATTTCCAATTAATGAATGTGGCCAGTCTTTTCCTCTTTCCTTTGTAAAGTCTTCGGCAAAAGAGAACCTCATCCTACGAAGAGGCTTGTGAGGCCGGTCCTGATGTGTCTCTCTTACTTTCCTGCGTGCATTCATGCCCCAGCCCCGGCCACATGCCGTCCGGTTCACACCAAATCTCCGGGTTCAGCGTGCGCAGCAGTCTCACTGGAGTGTCCACGACACGGAATTCCCCTTCCCCCACGTAGGACTGGGCCTGTTCAGATGCAGCTGCCCCAGGGGTCTGAGACAGTGTCTGCATTCCTCTTTATCCCCACACACTCCACACACACCAACCCTCGCAGGCCTCAGACGCAGACTCTGGGACTCCACGGCCCTGCCACAGGCAGTGGGCTCCTGGGACACAGATGCTCAGGTGCACCCAGCACTCATTACAGAGTGAGCTGGTGAGCCACACTGGCTGAGTGCATGAGTGAGGCCTGCCCACATTCTCACTATATCCCTACTGTGTGCTAGGAAAACTTCAAAAAAAAAAAAAAGTCACCTGGGAGCCACTCTCTAAAACAAAGTAGAAGTTATTCTCCAGAGACGGAATCTACTCCTTATTAAAACCAATCATGTCACTTTTTTTCCCTTTTTTTTTTTTTTTTTTTGAGTTGGAGTCTCGCTCTGTCGCCCAGGCTGGAGTGCGGTGGCATGATCTCTGCTCACTGCAAGCTCCACCTCCCAGGTTCACGCCATTCTCCTACCTCAGCCTCCCGAGTAGCTGGGACTACAGGTGCCCACCACCACACCCGACTAAGTTTTGTATTTTTAGTAGAGACGGGGTTTCACAGTGTTAGCCAGGATGGTCTTGAACTCCTGACCTCGTGATCCATCTGCCTCAGTCTCCCAAAGTACCGGGATTACAGGCGTGAGCCACCGCGCCTGGCCCATCACAATTTTTTAACAAACTCAGAGACTGAAACACTCTCTGGTTGTGAAGCCACAGCCTTAGAATATGGACAAGCTGGGGGCTCACTCCATGCCTCGGGACAACCTACATCCCACCTGGCCTTTAGGACCCTGCTCAGGTCCCCTCTTTTCTTAAATGTTCCTGATGGCTCTGAACCACCCCAGCCTCTCCCTTCTAAGACCATCTAAAGGACTTGGTGTGTCTCTCACTGGTTCTTCTGCCAACAGAGGCGGCTGAATGGCAGGAAAGCCAGCATTCGCCCAGCATCTGCGATCTGCCCAGCACTGTGCTAGACACTTCTGCAATGGCTACAGGAACGTCAATCTATCCATGCAGGAATCCTTCAGGCAACGCATTCTATCACACTATATTTTACAGATACAGACGTTGAGGCTCAGAATCTAAATCTGCTCAGACACTAGTAACTGCCTGCTGGAGTTTTCAAACACCAGGTCTGTCTGTTAGAGACCTTTTTAATATTCATATTCTCTCTCTCCCCCTTTTTCGTATCAACAGCATGCAACAATTTCCCACTACCTAGATTCTGTAAACAAGCTGGGAAGAGGTATGTCACAAGGAATGGAACAGAGCAGAGGCCCCAAATTGAAATCTACTCAGTTACAGTTCCAAGTAGAGCAAGGTTCTATTGAAAGTATGGGGCTGTTGTGTTTTTTTAACGTAAACTCTCCAGAAAGTGCAACTCCATCGCTTTCCATGTAACTCATCTCTGAAGCCAAGAAGTCCTTTGTGAATGACTAATCACCCACTGCAGACTCAACCCACTCCTTCCTCTCACCAGATGAAGAAGAGAACTCACTCCAGACCATCTGCACAACATTTCTTCAGGGACTTACAGACAGTTACCTCCCTCCCGCTCCCAGTCCTTGTTCCCGAGGCTAAAAAACTCCAATTCCTTTGCACTCCTATCAGAAGGCTGGCTTCCCAAACTGTCATCATAGTGTGGCGTTAGGCTGGACCATCTCCAGGTCCTTCATATCTTCCTACAGAGGCAACAGAACCTGACACATGGGGCCCAGCACCAGGCAAGGGCTGTACAGGAGTCCACGTCCAAGTTAAAATCTCTGCTGGCTGCTTTTGGAAAAGAGCTGCTTGATTCACTGAGTATCTTTTATTCCTGAGACGCCACGTATTCCAACTTCCTTTTAGCATGGGCAAACAATCAAACCACTCATGTCCTGGAAAAGCATGACAAATAGCTGAATCAAACAAACGTTTGTGAACTAGTACAGGTCAGACTCCTTTCCTCAGTGCCCCAAGGAACTTACTCTCTGAATCGATGGGGTTCTGAGTAGACACTTTCAAACCCTATTGGTGGTCATGTACTTGGCACAGCCTTTTGAGTAGATCCGATAACTCCACTTCTAGAAACGTATGTCAAAAGAGTCAATTGGTCACATGAGAAAAAAACCACATAAGGATGTTCAATAGAAGTCTGTTGGCCAACAGATACATGAAAAAATGCTCGTCATCACTGGCCATCAGAGAAATGCAAATCAAAACCACAATGAGATACCATCTCACACCAGTTAGAATGGCAATCATTAAAAAGTCAGGAAACAACAGGTGCTGGGGAGGATGTGGAGAAATAGGAACACTCTTACACTGTTGGTGGGATTGTAAACTGGTTCAACCATTGTAGAAAACAGTATGGTGATTCCTCAAGGATCTAGAACTAGAAATACCATATGACCCAGCCATCCCATTACTGGGTATATACCCAAAGGATTATAAATCATGCTGCTATAAAGACACACGCACACGTATGTTTATTGCAGCACTATTCACAATAGCAAAGACTTGGAATCAACCCAAATGTCCATCAGTGACAGACTGGATTAAGAAAATGTGGCACGTATACACCATGGAATACTATGCAGCCATAAAAAAGGATGAGTTTGTGTCCTTTGTAGGGACATGGATGCAGCTGGAAACCATCATTCTCAGCAAACTATCACAAGAACAGAAAACCAAACACCGTATGTTCTCACTCATAGGTGGGAACTGAACAATGAGATCATTTGGACTCGGGAAGGGGAACATCACACACCGGGGCCTATTATGGGGAAGGGGAGGGGGAGAGGGATGGCATTGGGAGTTATACCCGATGTAAATGACGAGTTGATGGGTGCTGACGAGTTGATGGGTGCAGCACACCAACATGGCACAAGTATACATATGTAACAAACCTGCACGTTGTGCACATGTACCCTAGAACTTAAAGTATTAAAAAAAAAAGAAACATCACATTAAAAAAAAGCCCTTAAAAAAAAAAAGTTTGTTTAGTAAAATCTAAAAACAATCTAAATGTTCAAGAGAAGAATGCTTAGATGTACTGCTACATCCAGATAGACATTTAAAAGGCCAGCGCATGTGTATGGCCATTGACTTTATTAACCTCTAAGAGATACTGCTGAATGAAAGAACACAGGTGTACTATGACCTCTCTACATAAGAGGTGAGCGTCTGTGCTTACATACACACAAAGGCAGAAGGTCCTTCACCAAGAGTGCTCCTAGTGGTTGCTCTTTCTAGGAATTTCTATATGCAATCTGGAACGCTTGCCTTTTCTGCCTAGGATGACATTTTTAAAATCATTTTAAAAAATAAAACCACTTTCATTTTGAAATAATACCCCCTCAGAAAATAATACTGCTAAAGAGTCGCTCCACTCTCAAATACCACTTATCCTTGAAATCGACCACAGGGGTTTCAGACACATCAGGCTTGTTAAAGTCAAACAGGAGAAGGGGCGAAAAGATGAGCAAACTGTCACCGCCACTGCTTTCAGAGGATCAAGTCTTTCCAATACTTTCCAATATATAAGAACTCACTGAAAGCACAATTAACAGAATTCTAAAAAGTACACAGCAGGGAAGGCAGGTTTCCCACAGGGGCCACGGGGAAGCAGAAGCCAGGCAGGAAGTAAGAGAGTCTGGCGAAGGGAGGAAGACGCAGGCGCACAGCCACTCACATCCAAGGCCGGCTTGTTCCTGCACCTCTGCAACCTTGCCAAGACTCCACGTCCCCATTCCCTCACCTAAAACAAGGGTATCGTGTCAGAACAACCTCCAGGGCCCACCCCAGCTCTGAGAGTCCAATTCCAGCATTCTTATAAAGTTACAGGTCCACAGACAACAAAGCCAACTTTACCTCTTCCAAAATTCCATTGGCAGCCTACCCTGTGTCTTCTCAAAGGATAAAGGACATGTGAATCTCTGGGCAGAGCAAGTCCCTCAAATGTACAATTGAGTGGCAGCCCCACACACCACTGTGGAGTCACTCAACTCTCCTCCACTATCAGGAGAGACTCAGTTCGTGCACATGCCCCTAACACGGCTTGCATCTGGCCCCACTGTTTCCTGGGCTGCCACTCACAAAACACAAGCTACGGCAACAAGGATCCTTGGGCCGGGCGCGGTGGCTCACGCCTGTAATCCCAGCACTTTGGGAGACCTAGGTGGGCAGATCACGAGGTCAAGAGTTCGAGACCAGCCTGGCCAACATGATGAAATCCTGTCTCTACTAAAAATACAAAAATTAGCTGGGCGTGGTGGCAGGGCTCCTGTAATCCCAGCTACTCAGGAGGCTGAGGCAAGAGAATTGCTTGAACCTGGGAGGTGGAGGTTGCAGTGAGTCAACATTGCTGCGCTGCACTCCAGCCTGGGTAACAGAGCAAGACTCCGTCTCGAAAAAAAAGAAAACAAGGGTCCAAATTCTAACTACCATGGCATCTTTTGACACTTAAAAAGAAGTATGAGAAACTACCTTCCTTAGAGAAGGACTGATCTTCACCCCTGCTGTGCCCTAGAAATAAGACAGAACCGGCACTGTGCCAGTGACTAGGTAACTCTCAAATTCACTAAAATATTTCTCCCTCAAATTAATACTTAAGTAAAACCTCCCAAACCTGTTAGTTCAGAAAATCTTATCTACCTTCAGGTATTATAAATTTCTGCTGTAAGGTCTCCATCT